TTTTTGGTCTTTTTGAGACAGGGTCTACCTGTAGCCCCAGCTGGCCTGGAAAACTCTATGTAGACCAGGCTGGCCTTGAACTCATGGATATCCTGAGGTGTTAATGCACCAACATTATAATTATCTGAACAAATACGAGCCCAACTCCTAAATTTAGTTTTTAAGAGTGGGCCCAAGCTGGGCACGGTGGCGCATGCCTGTAGTCCTAGTACTTGGGAGGCAGATGCAGGTGGATCTCTGTGAATTGGAAGCCAGCCTGGTCTACATAGTGAGTTCAAGTTGAGCTGGGGCTTTGGTCTCAAAAAGACCAAAAAAAAAAAAAAAGGAGTGGGCCCAAACTCGGAAGCTTGTTCTCCTAGACATCTCTTGGACCCATCTATCTCCTGGAACTGTCCTGACAGAACTGTCCTGTTGGAACTCTGTCTCTGGAACTGACCTCTGAGTCTAGTCCCACCCATAATTTTATTCAAAATGGTTTCTCTAGCTTCACCTGGGGGAAGTACAAAGCTTGGCTCCATCCTACTCTGAACAGATCATCCTGCCTTTCCATCCCTAGTTCTAGACTATCTCATCCATCCAAGGTCACACATCCTTCCCAGTCTCCACTGTCTCTAGAGGACATGGGGCGTCACCTTTCAGGACTTTGATATATTAATTCTCAAGACAGTTTTCAGGGGGCTGGAGAGATGGTTCAGTGGTTAAGCGCACTGGCTGCTCCTGTAGAGGACCTGGATTCAGTTCCCAGCACCCATGTGGCAGCTAACAACCAGTTCCAAGGGAATCTGATGCTCTCTTTTGACCTCCACAAGCATTATACAACATGGGTGCACTCACACACATGTAGGCAATACACTCATATACTCAAAGTAAAAATAATAAATACTTTTAAAAAGACACTTTTCAAACTCCTTGGTGGAAACATTTAGTAGGCAGATACAGCAAAAGAGAAATCTCTGCCATAAGCCTAGATGCTGAGGGCGTTCTTAGCCTTTTGGTTGGTGGGAACTAGGGTTTTGTTAATACATTCCTAAAGGGTTTTTATCTGTTAAAGTAAAAAACAGACATGGGCAAGGAATAGCTATTTAGGGGTTAAAGTTGGCCCAAGATAAACTGTGAATAGGCTCTGGACTTGCAACATTCTAAACTCCAGTCATTGAAGTGCTAATCAGTTGGTCAGCCTCAAGGAAGTTCAGTGCAAGATGCAGGGGTTTTTTGTGGGAACTTTTGTTCACACTACAATACAGCCTCTAAGAAAACTAGGCTGTCCTGAACCCCTGGTCGCAGGGATTATTTATCTTTATACCGATAAGGTTGGGAAAGCACAAAGTCCACATGTGATGTGTGCCCAGGCAGACTCAACCACATCAGCAGAGCCTATGGTAGTTCTGTTTGTGCTAAATGCGACCATGACAGGATCAAGTGTGCTTTCCCTAACGAGGAGCAGAAAATCAATGTGGGGGTGCTGAAGGCACAAGCACAGAGTCAGAATGTGAAATAGACACGAGGCTTTTTAAGTAATGAAAATCACAGCTGTTCCATGGTCAAAAAAAAGACAGTCTAGATGATATTAATGAAAGTCATTCCCATGATATCTGCTTGCCTTCTGAGTGTGGGGATTAAGGGCGTGTGCCACCATGCCAGGCCCATGTAAAAATTTAAAATTTCTTTAAAATTTTCTACTTAGGAAGTTGAGAGACTTACTGAGCGACTGGAAGAAAAAGAGAGGGAGCTCCAGCAGCTGATGAGCCAGCCTCAGCACGAACACGAGAAGGAGGTTGTCCTGCTGCGGAGAAGCGTGGCAGAGAAGGAGCAAGCCCAGGCTGCCAGCGACATTTTGTGTCGGTCCTTGGCTGATGAGACTCACCAGCTGCGCAGGACACTGGCTGCCACTGCTTACATGTGCCAGCATCTGGCCAAGTGTCTGGATGAAGGACAGCGTGCAGAGGGAGACGGGGGGAAGAGAAACCCTGATGAGGTGGGCAATGCAGCAAACCCGGTGAGGCAAGAGGCATTGTCTGCCACCACAGAGGTCAGAGGTCAGGCACCCCCAGAGTCCACTCTGATCTCAGTAAGGAGAGTCAGTGTGCTTAGCCACGGATTTGTGATGGGAAATGTGAATTGTGATAGGAGAGCAGGCTAGCCTGCAGCATTGCCATAGCTGATCACCCACATGGGTAGAGGATGGGAAGGCAGGACTGGGGAGAGGGGCTGTCCCCAGGAAGTACTGTTGTATGCATATTGCACAGATGAGGAAACTGAGGCAGATCTAAGTGACACTGCTGAGGACAAAGCAGTGCCTCCACATGTAACATGTGCAACACCCAAGCCTAAAGCTCCTGGAGTGCCAGCATTCTGCAGGCTCCCTGCATCTGAGTGGTAAGAGCTGGCCCAGCCGTGGACCTCATGATGAGCCAGAACTCCAGTGTCTGAAGCTGGCTTTGGGTACACGCTTGCCAGCAACACGGCCTGCCATAAACAAGTAGACCTGGCACCCAAGGACTGCAGCTCATCATCCCAAAGACACAGAGCATCTCTGCATCTCAAAATCATGACACCCCAGGTAGACATTATCTGAGGTGGGCAGCAGATGGTGACCCAGGGACCAGAAGCCAATAGGGCCAGGTTGCAGCAGGGTTCCGAGAAAGGCCCTCTGTGCCTCTAGGCCAGGCTAGTCTGGGTTGTGGCGCTGTGCAAGGTTTGATGAAGAATGTGACCAACATTCCAGCATCAGGCATCCATAAGGTAGTCACAGCAAGGGAGGGCTGGGGATAGCAGGTGACCCATGAGCCTAAGACTGAAGTGGGCAGCACAGTGCACAGTGCCTTCTTTTCTGCGGGCAGGTTGCACTGTTTCGTGTGGAGCCAGCAGGGAGACAGGCACCGTGGTGTGCCTCATCTGAGTTACCAGTGGGTGTATTTGTTACTTTGCATCTTGACCACAATATCCGACAGAAACAACTTCAGGGAGGAAAGATTTATTTTGACTCAGGATTTCTGAGGATTTCAGTCTATCATGGCAGGGATGATGGGGCCAAGTTCATGGTAGGGGAAGCATGTGGCAGAGAATCCTCACATCATAGCAGACAGAGAGGGGCTGGAATTAGGGGCCAGTTCAAAGGCCTGCCCTTAGCAGCCTCCTTCTGACCACTAGGCTCTACTTCTCAAAGCTCCCACAGCCTCCCAAAGTAGCGTCATCAGCAAGGGATCAAGTTTCCAAAACAGGAGCCTGTGGGGGACATTTCAGATTCAAACCATACCAGTGGGGCATCTCTTGTACACTGCCCCACACAGGGCCTCCAGCTCAGATCCTTTCCAGGAAGTTCTCAGGCAACAAGGTTCATGCAGACCCATGTGCCACACATGTTCTGAGGAGAAGGGAAATCCAGACGCCGGCAGCTTCTCTAAGGTGTTGAGAGAAAGTTGATCAAGAACCTTCCATCTTGGTTGTATGGATCTCATAAAAAGTCACCTCAGAAAGAACACAGTTGTACTCATTGCTGTCTAGAAGGAGGTAGAGTGCCCTCGTCCAAGTCTGTGTTACCGTGACATTCCGTCTGGAGCTCTGAAAGTAGCCACACAGTGGTCACCCTAAGATGGCAGACAGGCACCTGTGTCTTTAAGTCAGTATCACGACTTAGCCTAGGACTTGGCTGAGTCATTTGGGGCTTCCCAGGGTTAGGACATGTGCTTCTTGTCATTTAAGGGGAATTCTCAATGCTAATGTCAGTGATTTACAGTCTCCTGCACTGTTCAATGCATGGAATTTCTGGGGTACAATGTGTACCCCAAAAACATTTTATGAGACTTTCCAGTTAGGTCAGTCAGCTGTTGTTGAGGTTGGTTTGGGATGTGGCTTTTGTGACTGAATCCCCTGGTCCTGACCCTGTTGGAGGCACAGGTTAGGTTGCCTCATCCAGATTAGCTTGTCTATAGGCAGGGCTCCTGTGTTGGAGGCTCTGAAGGAGGTAAGTTGGATCTGTGGCCAGGCCCATTCAAGGCAGCTGGAAGGTCTTCTGGCTGGGGGCTCTGTCTTACATAGTCCAATTAACCCCTGTTCTCCCTGCTGCCTGTGATGATGGTAGGCTCAGGCACTGGGAAGATTTGGTTACATGTGATGTGCTTATTCCTTTAGACTTGATAACAGAATGCTCAGATCCAGAATATTTAAAATACAGGGGCTGGAGAGATGGCTCAGCAGTTAAGAACACTGGTTGTTCTTGCAGAAGACCCGGGTTCAAATTCCAGCACCCACATGGCAGCTAACAGCTGTCTGTAACTCCAGTTCCAGGGGATCCAACAGCCTCTCCTGTCCTCTGCAGGCATTGCACGACACAGGTGCACTTACCTACACGCAGGCAATACATGCATACATATAAAATAAAAATAATTAAAAAAATAGCTCATGTTGATCGGTAGGGAGGGACAAGGACTGGTTCCAGGGAGGCACAGCCTTGAGACCTTCTGCCAAGGCTGTGCTCTGGTCTCAGTGGGGAGTGGGCCTAGGAAGAGCTGGGACTATAAAGTCCTTTTCTGTTACCACCTCCAATGCTACAGCTGCAGTGCTGGTCTGTGGCCTCAGCCTCTGGCCCCAGCTTCCTCTCCCAGTCTGTATATGAATCACGTGCAGTGATATGGCCTCTTCTCCATCTCTTTCTCACATAGCTAGAGCGTACAAGCAGGGATGCCTCTGGCCAGGCTGTTATTGAGAAGTTACAGGAAGAAAACCGACTGTTAAAACAGAAGGTGACTCACGTGAGTGTCTAACATCTCATTGAAGAAGAACATTCACCCCGACAAATGTCAAGTTGAGGGCTCTTTCTTCAGCTGGTGACTAGAGGTGGCTCCTGCCCCCTGGCAGTCCCCAGAGACATGACCTTTCTGCCAAAGAGGGTGTAGGTATGTGTGTAGGTCTTCACTGTCTCTGTCCCCCCAGAATTAACTAGTCAATAGAGGAAGTACAAGAATTGCCATCAGGAAGCAGGTGTGTGTGTGTGTGTGTGTGTGTGTGTGCATGCATGTGCGCACATGTGTGTGCCTGCATTTGGAGGCCAGAAGTGTCAGGCAATTGTCTTCCACCTTATATTTTAAGACAGGGTCTTTTATTGAATCTGGAGCTCATAGATTTTTTTTGCCAGGCTGGCTGGCCAATGAGTTCCAGGGATCTGCTTGTCTCCCCTCCCCACTGGGGTTATAGACATGTGTCATCATACATGGCTTTTACATGGGTGCTGGAGATCTGAAATCAGGTCAGCAAGCACTTGACTGGCTGCGCCATATTTTCAGTACCCCAGTAGTTGTTTTGGTTTGTTTTTGTTTTTGTTTTAAGGCAGGGTCTCCCTGTAGCCCCAGCAGTCCTGGAACTTACTATGTAGACCAGGCTGACCTTGAACTCACAGAGATCCGCCTGCCTCTGCCTCCCAAGTGCTGGGACTAAAGGCATGTGCCACCATGCCTGGCTTGAAGTTTTATATATATATTTTATATTTTATGTGTATGAGTGCATTGCCTGCATGTATGTGAGTGCACCGTGTCGTGCAATGCCTCAGAGGTCATAAGGGGGCTTCGGATTCCTCTGGAACTGGAGTTAAGGATGGTTCGTAGCTGCCATGTAGGTGCTGGGAATCGAACCAGGTCCTCTGCAAGAGCAGTCAGTGCTCTTAACTGCTGAGCCATCCCTCCAGCCCTGAAGTAGTTTTTAAGACAGGAAAATTCCACTGAGTTCATATCTGTCTTAAGACCCTCGATATGGATATTATCATAGTGTAAAGACTCTCTAGTGGGCTTAGTGTCCTTTCTACACAAAAGAACGGGAGGCAGTTTCTCCGTAGGAAAACCTCACTTGGTAAATTATTGCTGATAAATAGCTTCACAGTTGGGTGTTGACTTGAGCAGATGTCTCAGCCTCCTTGCTGTGAGCTTTCTGGCTCTTTCTTCAGGTAGAAGACCTCAACGCTAAGTGGCAGCGCTATGACGCGAGTAGGGATGCGTATGTGAGGGGGCTGCAGGCACAGCTAAAGGGGCAGCAGGGCCCCCCTGAGTCTGAGTTGATGCAGAAGGAAATCTCCCGGCTCAACAGGCAGTTAGAGGAGAAAATCAACAACTGCGCAGTAGTGAAACAGGAGCTGGCCGCTGTGAAGATGGCCCGGGACTCAGCGCTGGAGCGGGTGCATGTGCTGGAGCAGCAGGTGCCCTTGGGCTCTGGGCAGCCTCGGGGAGGTCTGCCTGTGGGCAGTGGCCATGGCTCTGGGATGGCCTAAGCTGTGAGGGCTTGGTGGCGGCACTGGGTGGGATGCAGTTGTGGGGCGGTGAAGCCAGGTGAGGATTTTCTCCTTTGAGCAGAAGTAAATGTCCAATTTTCTCTTAGATTCTTGCTTACAAGGATGACTTTACATCAGAAAGGGCAGATCGGGAACGAGCTCATGGTCGGATTCAAGAACTGGAGGAAAAGGTCTCTTCCTTGATGTATCAAGTGTCCCAGAGACAGGTGAGGGAAAAGTGTATTTGTCCTCTTAATTAGATTCAATCCTTTGCTTTTCTCATGAATTTTGAGCCTCTTGGTCTGCCAGGACGTTCTGGCTGACAACATTGTTGGTCTGGACAGAGTGGCCTTTCCTGGGCCTGAGGTGTGGTCATGGAAAACCTCTCCATGGTACTGTCTGCCTGTGGAGGTTGGCATGGCGGCCTGTGTTGGCAGAGGTGGCTGACCTCAGGCCTGTCCTGCCTCTGCATTGCTGCCATGCAACACAAGCTTATCCTGGGCCTCAGCTCTACTGGCAGTTCCATAACTGTCTGTCCTTGCTGTGAAGCAGAGACCCTAGATACTATGTTATATAATATGACACAGGTTTCAGTCAGGTCCTCCAGTACAGGCAGTGGGCCCCTACCCCTCTGGTTGTAGTGCTGGTCTGCGCTGTCTCTGATGAGGCCTCTCATATGTAACAGTGGGACCCACAGGCCCCTCCTTAATCACTTTAATCTCCTTATCAGAGGGATCCTCTCCAGCACAGGCCAGGGCTCCAACATTCATCTTCCTAGGGCTCTTTTTCAATCCATCCTGTCCATTCTGTATTTCTTTCTGCCCCATTTGCTCTTTTTCACTGTAAATCATAGGAGGCCCTGTCCATAGCCCTAGCCCTGGCAGACCTTTTGGCATCATATAAGGGCTTATGTGGGCAGCTGGTTCCCCACCCCCTGGTGTCTTGTTCTCTTAAAGCTCCAGGGCTGTAGGTATAGGTTAGGACAGAATCCTCCAGTATGTACCATGGAATGGGACTATCTTTTTTAAAAAATAATTCTATGTGTATGAGTGTTTTGCCTTAGGAAGTCATTAACGGTGCAGTCTTGATGGTGTCAGATGGCCTCTCAACAATGGGTCAGAGGAATGACCGTACCAGTTCGGGCCTGCCAGGCCAAGTCCCCTGAGGTACCTGATCAGCCCCCAAAGTTTAGGTTTCTGATGAGGACTGGGACCTTTGCATTAGTGATAGCCCCCAAGCACTGGAAGCACCTGCTCTTTCTCTACCCCAGGGGGATACCCAGGCATGGTACTGCTGAAGGGATGAGTGATAAGCCCTCTGAAGGAAACCCAAATTCAGATACAAAGTAGAGGCCCCCAGACAGGTGCTGGAGTGAGGTTCCCACACAAGTCATGATGGCACCACTGCATATAGTGCTTTGTGCCATTTGTTTAGAGCATGTGGGTCAGGCTGTACCAAGAGCACTCCCTGATGCCAGTGGAGGCCTCTGAGGCTGAATGCCCAGCACCTGAAGTCCCATACACAGAAGATTGTGGTGGGATTGGGACTCCATTCGCTTTCCCCCTGCTACTGCCCTGTTGCCCCCCTGAGCTCTCAATGCACTCTGGTGGTGTGTGGTATCAGGGTCATGTCCTTGAGTGTTCCGAGGCTGATGGGTCCAGTCATGCTTTCCACTTCAGACCTGGGAGTAAACTCCAGTCAGGCCTGTCTTCCAGGAACACGTACGTGAGAACATGTGGGACGTCTTCAGTTATTCACCCAGCACCTCTTCGTCTGGACCTTGGGTTCAGCAAGAAGCAAGGCCAGGAACTGAAGTCCTACTCCAGCACAGTCCATGTAAATAGGTTTTGTCTTCTCTTCAGGACTCCCGGGAGCCAGGCCCCTGCTGGATTCTTACTGGGAGCAAAACTACCAAGTGCCTAGAGACAGATGCGTTGGAGCTTGTGGCCCCTGCTGGCTGGAGGTCTGGGTCGCAGAAGATGGAGCCTCCTGCAGAGGGCGGTCACCTCCACAGAGCCCAGAGAAGTCAGGGTGAACTTCAGTGCCCTCACTGCCTGCAGTGCTTCAGTGATGACCAACACGAGGCATTCCTCAGGCACATGTCTGAGTGCTGACAGTGAGCCAGAGCCACCGTGCCCACGTGGCCCTGCCCAGGCCAGCTGGTCTAAGGGGTTGGGTGGGCATTCTCAGACCTGATCTGCAGCTCTGGACCCTAGATCCCACAGACGGGGCAGGGGACTCTGACAAGTCATTTTGGTTCCTCATCGGCCATCGGTCAGACTGGGTCAGAGGGAACTGTTAGCAGAGCTGGAGGCCGAGATGGGGTCAAGAGCATCAAGTGGGTGCCAGTCTGGTCTCATGTGGAGCTGTAAAGCCCAAGCTGCAAGCCGTGTGTGCGGAATACTGAGAGGCTAAGGAAAGAAGCTGCTCTGGGATCTGTGTGCACACTCTCAGGATGGAGTCCTGCCCTGTTCTGTGGTGAGGTGTAGGCTCCCTGCCTGGTCCATGCTGCACTACAGTTGCCCCAAACACTGGGGCCTCCCCACCCACAGCAGAGCCACGAGGCTGCACCCAGTGCCCCTTGCAATAAATAGCACTTGTCATGTAGTCAGAAGTGAGAGCACCTTTTTTGTGCTCACTAAGTTTTATAATAAATGTACTTACTACCGTGTTCCTGAGTCAGGCTGGGGCGAGTGCAGGGATGAGCCATGTTTTGAGGTTGTGCAGTACATACGAGTTGGTAAGGAGAACATGTCTGCTCTTTTTCCCTTTCAGGGGAGTTGAGGAGCATGTCCGGCCCTGCCTGCTGGAGTACATGGGCAGAAGGTGCCTTAGGATTTGTGGGGACTGAGGACTTCCATTTTTGGCTTTTAATTCTAGCAACTTCAAAGAGCCAGACAAAATACCTTGACACTTGACTTTTGCCCCAAACTGTTTGGAGAAATTCTTGGGGAACGTGGGCTGACTTTACTTTTATATTTTATGTGTATGAGTGTATTGCCTGTGTGTATGTAAGTGTACCCGTGTTGTGCAATGCCTACGGAGGTCAGAAGAGGGTGTTGGATCCCCTGGAATGGGAGTTTCAGAGAGTTGTTAGCATTGTTCTTGGCATGCCTGACTTGAGTGAGGTATGTGTGTGGATGTGTGCATGCATATGTGTATATGTGTGCATGCTTGTGTGTGTATACTTTTTTTTATGTGTATGAGTGTATTGCCTGCATGTATGTGAGTATACCCGTGTCCATGTTGTGCAGTGCTGCAGAGGTCAGAAGAGGGCTTTGGATTCCCCTGGAACTGGAGTTAAGGACGGTTCATAGCTGCCATGTGGGTGCTGGGAATCCAACTCGGGTCCTCTGCAAGCAGCCCCGTGTGTATACTTTTAAATTTATGCTTACAGTATGAATGTATTAGGACTGTTGTCTGTCTCTTCTCTCCTCCTCCTGATATGCAGGCATTTAAGAGTTAACTTTAGGAGCTGGTTGTGGTGGTGCACACCTTTAATCCCAGCACTCAGGAGGCAGAGGCAGGCGGATCTCAGTGAGTTCAAGGCCAGCCTGGTCTACATAGTGAGTTCCAGAGAAACCCTGTCTCAAAAAGACCCCCCCCCCCAAAAAAAAAAAGTTCCCTTTAGAATTTGGGACTGAAAAAAACCTAAAACCTGGTCATTTAAAAATCATGCTATGCCTGCCGAGTGTGGTGGTGCACGCCTTTAATCCCAGCACTGAGGAGGCAGAGGCAGGCGGATCTTTGTGAGTTCAAGGCCAGCCTGGTCTACACAGTGAGTTCCAGGACAGCTGGGGCTACAGGGAGACCCTGTCTCAAAAAGACCAAACAACAACAAAACTGAAATCCATGCTGCTGCTTCCTAGAGGCCTACAAAAGGCGTCCTGGGGACTGGCGGTGTTTATCTGTTCTGTCTAGTCATAAATACAATTTCAAGTTGGTTCTCTTTTACAGTATATTTGGGATTCTTAACAAATGTATTTTCATAAGTTGCTAATGTACAGAGACAGAAATTAAGAAAATTTAAGACTCCTTTTTTCCTGAGACTTTGCTAGAATAAGATTGTTTAGAATTAAAATTCTAATTAGCACATACAATTCTTTATGTAAAAAATATGAAAGAATTTAAGCTGTGTTTTTATTAAAATACTATCAGAAAGCATACTTTATTTATTAAATAATTTTGGGGCCAGGTATGGTGATATATGCCTTTAATCCCAGTACTTGGGAGGCAGAGGCAGGCAGATCTCTGTGAGATCAAGGCCAGCCTGATCTACCTAGTGAGTTCTAGGCCAGTTGGGGCTACAGGAAGACTCAGCCTCAAGAAAACAAAACAAAACAAATGTAAATAATAATAATTTTGTCTAATTCCAAGAGATTTATAAAAGGTATTTTTATTTATCTTTAGTTTTTTACTTATGTGTATGAGTGTATTGCCTGCATGTATGTGAGTGCACCCATGTGCAGTGCCTGCAGAGATCAGAGGAGGGTGTCAGATCCCCTGGAACTGGAGTTGTGGATGGTTGTTAGCTGCCATGTGAGTGCTGGGAATTGAACTGGGTCCTCTGCAAGAACAGCCAGTGCTCTTAACCACTGAGCCAGCTCTGCAGCCCCAAGGTCTTGACTTTTTCAAGTATTACAGGTCCAGCACACTACAGAGGTAAAGACTAAATTTTGCTTCAAAAGTCGAAGCTAAGACCAGAGAGATGGCTCAGTGGGTAAAGGCGTTTGCTGCCAAACCTGATGACCTGAATTCAATCCTAAGGACCACATGGTGGAGAGAACCGATTCTCACAGGTCGCTGTCTGCCCTATGCATGCCCAAATGTACACACACACATAAATTTAATAAAAAGGTAGCCGTAGGTTATTAAATTGAGTGTGTCTGTGGTGGCTGGGGGTGTGTATAGAGGTGTCTGTGTGCCAGTCAAGCCTGTGGAGGTCAGAGGACAGCTATAGTAATCGGCTCTCTCCTTCCACCATGTGACTTCTAGGGATTGAACTCCCTCACGCCATCAGGCTTGACAGCAAGTACCTTTACCCAGTGAGCCATCTTGCCAGCCCAAGAAGCAGCTAAATTAATGCACAAAACGCTTCTGGCCACACACAGTGGCACATGCCTGTAATCTCAACATTTGAGAAGTCCAGGCAGGAGGACCAGGAGTTTGAGGCCTGACTTACCTACGTAGTGAGTTCATATCCCACCGGAGCTACATGAGACCCTGTCTCAGAAAGAAAACAAAACCCAAATAAGTACATAGATGTGGGGCTAATTGCTATGGGCTTGCTTGTACATTGAGTTTATTTCTGTCCCTCAGGTGTGTAAGTCTCTGGCATGCAAAGCTCAGGAGAATTTTCCAAGCTAGGGTGCTCTAATTGTTGGTGATGCTGACCTTTTCCAAAGCTTGCAGAGTGGGAGAGAGAATTTCCAGAAAGAGCCAAGGATGAGAGAATTGCATCTTGTTCTTTAAGCCACTGGTTATAGAAGCCCTTGTTATAGAAGCCTGGTTATTAATACAGAATGCCTGGAAAAAATATACTTATCACAAATATACAAAGTCTCTACAATAAGAAGTACAAAATGTTACTGAGAAATGAAAGAACACAGCTAAATGTGGATTGTTGTTCTTAGAGATGACATTCTTATTGTTGAGATGGGGTCTCCTTGTAGCTCAGCTGGGCTGGAACTCCATGTGCAGACTAGGCTAGCCTGGATCTTACAGGAATCTGCCTGCCTCTGCCTCCAGGATTCAAGGCCACCATACCAGATGACATTAGATGACATTCTTACCCTTTTCTCTGTTATTGGCAGAAGCAAATCTGTTCCACCCCCTCCATTTTCACAGAAGGCCGGGGCTGGGTTGGTAGAGTGCTTGCCTAGCATGCATGAGGCCATGAGTTTGATCCCCAGCACTCCATAAACCGGGCATAGTGGTTCATGCCTATAATCAATCCCAGCACTCAGAGGTGGAAGTAGGAGGAACAGAAGTTCAAGGTCATCTTCAGCTACATCGTGAGGTTGAGGCCAGTCTGAGATACATGAGACCCTGTCTCAAAGGAAACAAGCAAAAATCCAGTTTCACAGACGAGATTCATGACCTGCTACTCACCTGCGTAGCAATTCCAGTGTCCCTCCTGTCTTGGCAGGCACGTGTGACCGTCACCACAGTCCATGTCAGAACACTAGAAAGGGACCCGAGGGCCCTTTTATGGAGGAGGGTACATTATAGGAGGGAAGACAGATGACAGGCAAAATGGAGGTGGAGAGGTGGAACAGAAAGACAAGTGGTCAGAGCCTGGGGTGTGGCGGAATCCAGGGGTGGGGAGGGGTGGGGCTAACCTAAAGGGAGGGCACATGAAAAGCCCTATGGAAGCCTACTACCTCACAACCCAATTTAAAACAATTGAGGCTCACCACACCTGTAGTCCCAGCACTCAGGCAGCAGAGGCAGGTGGATCTCTGTGAGTTCGAGGCCAGCCTGGTCTACATAGTGAGTTCCAGGCCAGCTGGGGCTACAGGAGACCCTGTT